AAATTAATGACGCATATACACGTACGAGCAACCCAGAGTTTCGATTGGTCCTTTTTCCGCCTAGCCATGCCTATTAAGACCAGAACGCCTGTTTCAGCCTCCGCAATACAAATCCCGTAAATCAAACATGCTTGGTTTATATATAAGCAAAATAATACTTGTACAACGTCAATCCAGAAGTGGCTGTGATTATGAGGAACTATGGCTAATAGGCTGAGAACAGTAAATCATATAACAGTAACCAATAGGTCATTTAAGAGCTTATAGTAATAGGAATGTAAATATATATAATTTAGTATTAATCCATAAATAGATCCCAGCAATTTCCATCCATTTTACTCGTCGGGATAAAACATTATTTATTTGCGTTTTGATGATTCACGTGTTTCAAACACTCAACAGGCCTCATATTTGAGCTGTACTTCTTTTAAATATATTTACGGAGGCGGTTGGTGTTGATAGATTTCGGACACAAGAATAAAGTTTGAGTCAAAGGTGTGTTTATGTACGTTTACTTTGTAAATGAGTTGTATTTGTTACTGAAAATCTGAAATTTATCAGGTTTCGAGATATGTAAAATCGATGAACGATATATCACAGTTATCTATTCTGCATTAGTTATTATAAGAATGCGGGTCGTGTGTACATAATAACGTTCATTTTGTTCTTAATGTCAATTTTCTTCATTAAAAAAATCTCAAACATATCGTATATCATTAGTTCAAAATCAGTTTACTGTTTATTTGCAACACAAGAATGAATTTGAGATTTATGTCTTAAAGACAGTTTTATCCTTCATCTTGCCCTGATTTTTTGTTTCAAAGTAGGGTTTGTTTGTTTTCTGGCTTTCACTTGTTTACGGATCAGTTGGCCTATCAAACCCGCAAAGGTGGACTGTAAGAACGAGCTGATAATAAACATGCAAACCGCTTCTGTATCACGGAGCATATATATCATGACAGTATGTTGTCCATCGAATGTGGATGAATAATTTTAATGATGGAAGGATTATTAGGTATTTCAGTTTACGGTCCAATTCCAAGATTTAGAATTACGATGCAGAGTTTAGTGTTAGGGTTTTAAATTATGATGTAAAGTTCCAAGGCTTAGGGTTAAACTTTGGATTAAGATTTAGGATTTTTGTATGGTTACAGTTAAGACGATTGTTTAACACAGATTATAATAGTGCATTAGACTTTATTATTCGTATGCATTTACCCTAAATCTCAACTCTAACCGCAAATTCTGAACTCTACTTCCTAATCTTAACCTTTCATTCTAAGCTCCACATCCTATTATTAGCTCTCAATCTTAAGTTATACATCGTAACTCCAAATTCTAACTATAACCTCAAATTTAAGTCTTACATTATAGCCCTCAATCCTAAACTCTGAATCATAAATCATTCATTCGTATCTGCTGTTTTCTGATAGATTTTATAGGTTAAGTATTTTCCTTAGTCTTTTAAGGGGTTGCTGAACTCTACATTACAGTTCACCGCTAACATCTCTAGCTTGACTACTTAATTCTAGGAATCGTTTAATTGAATATTTCTGTATGATTGTGTTAAATCGATGTAGTTCTATGACAAAGCTTTACAGTCACTGTTATTGCTTACTTTTTTTATGTGTCATGAACCGGTTTGTTAATTTTTTTGTACTTATACTGTGGTCGTGTATTCTTCCAACTAAAATGGTTTAACTCCTGGACTTTCTCATTATCACTTTTGTAGTAAGCTGTTCAGTTATGACACATATGTTGTAGCTCTTCGTTCTAATGGCTGCTTTTGGTTGACTGTCTTGGTATACAATTCTGTCGTCATTGGTTCTTATCATTTCCGATTAAAGTAGGCTCTAGAGATGCCCAAACTGACAAAGAAATTTCCTCAATTGAGCGATTTAGGTGAGAGAACAAAATGTCATCAAAAACATTCCCTTGAGCTGCAAATTGTTTTCGTAATTTCAAAATGTATATATTTGATCTCATATCAAGGCATAGAATTTGCCGATAGTCTAGTTAGTAAAATTATAAGGATTATCTAAAACTGACTGATTTTATCCATTAAAATTGGTGTATTTCTCTTCAAGTAGATTATAATCTCAAATATATTGGTTGCTTGAATCTTTCCATTGATGTTTAGAGATCCGACTGATTGGTTTCTCTTGGCATATGTGAGCCCTACGAAGATTGACTGGATGTTGCATTTGGATAGACATACATGGTATTTAGCAGTGGACTGGAGGAACTGCGTTTCGTCCTTTATATACCTGTATCCCAGAGTCCATGTTCACTCCAAGGTTCGAACCCAGTACCTTTTGCTTCAAATGTCATTCCATTATCCACTATCGGAACTCAATAGTTAAGTGGATAACGTCATGGCGCTTGAAGCAAACGGTTACTATTTGAATCCTGGGAAGAACAACTCTGAGGTACAAGCTCACCAAGCTGACGAGTCCAAAGTAGGACGAAACGCACATCATGCATTTCACTGCTAGCTACCGTTCATCTCTTCTTAAGATCATAATCTCAGTCTGTGTACTGAATGACTTACTAAACAATCGATATTATGTCATCGTTAAACGCTGGTAATGCAATTAATAATTTTGTTGCATGCAATTAAGTGTTTCATGAACATTAATATCATTATATTCTTACCACTCAAATAAATTATCACTGTTTTCATAGTGTAAATTTTTCATACGAATACTTTTCAGTTATTTTGTAAATGCTAGTTGTAAAGCAGTAATTCAGTAGTTTAGGCTTTCAAATTTCAACCAATAACCTGCAGCATTGAACTCTGGTCCGCCTACTTAGGTTTGATGACTAGTAATATCACTAGTCCTTACACTTAAAGTGTAATTCAGAGCCAACTACCTAAATCTGTACCCGGAAAATTACTTATTATCGGTTATTTGATAATTACTTTTGGCAAATTTGCTAAATATTATTTTGTACACAAAAATGGCTTTATTTAACTGGAATGAAGATAAGATATACTATTAAAATGTACTTGTAAACGTAACTAGTCTGCGCTAATAATAGTAACAGTTATTATTAATTCATAAAATTACTTTTAATAATTGTTAATCATCATTTAAAGTGGTAAACCTCTTTGTGGTGAATTCCAGACATTTTAATAAGAAGCAGCTGTATTCTGTTGAGTTTAATCACTTGGAGAATTATACGGAACTGTACAGTAATGTTTAATATATTTTATTGTGCCTTACTTCTCTCCGTCATTCTATAACCAATTTAGTTTTAAGTTGTTTAAACAGTGACAATTCAGAGTATGTTATCAGGATGACCTTCAAACAATCTCGAAAAATTTCAGTCAGCTGTTAGGTAGTCAGAGAATAGCAAATAGTCTGTTGAAGTCTTCTATAGATTGCTTTGTCTGTAAATCGAAAAGCTACGATATTTGAATTCATCCATATGGATACAGAACATTCACCTTCCAAATCTCTACAAGGCTTTTTAAGAGTTTACATATTGTCACCGGTTAGGCTTTAGGGGCTTAGGTTCAAGCTTTCCTTTATATATATATGCGTTATTCGACCATGCTAGTTGTATATTTTTTGGCAATGTTTCAAATAAAATAGATTTGTTTGCAAAAAGTTTTGAAAATTATTTATTGAAAGCTCATCATAGTATGAAATGCTTCAGTCTACATGGCGTTGGAGAATGATATAATTTGTAGAAAATCATTTGCTTTACATTTTGGTATTTCACGTTTCTCTCTTTATCATACATGCAAACTCACAATCACACATACATAACTTAGCATGAATAGAATCTCTGAAAACTTGATAAAACCTATACTGGGTGTGTATTTATAGGCTTGTGCATGTTTATGTATGTTTCCGTGCGTTCATGAACGAATGAATATCAATAAACCAAAAAAACGCATTATGTGTGTTTGTTGGCATAGACGATTTCATATTTTGTTCATTACATTAGTAATAGATATTGATTAGAATCAATAAGGTTTGTGTATTACTGATTTACTTAGTACAAATACTTAGCACCTTATTACTCATCATCCCTATCATATTATTGTTATTGTTATTGTCATTATTATCTCATTCATCAGGTACTTGGCTGTAAACGGTTACTGAAATCTGAGTGGACGGAGCAGGGTCTGAGCCTGAGACTTAGTGGCTAAACTTCGAATGCTTTAACCACTGACCCACGGTTTGAGTACTCTAACGTCACATTTTAAAACTGTGCACCCGGTGTCGAGTCAGACTAGTGACCATTATTGCAACTTGATCGATAGGATTTGATCAGCAATTAAACGAACTTGGTATATATGACATTGTTCACAACTCGGTGATCAATCATTTATAAATACACTTCATTCCTACAGAAGATCAGCTGTGATCCCGATAGGTCAGTAAGTAGTTATGTCTCTGACTGTAAAGTTAGGTGACACGGGAAAGTGACACGTCAAAAAACATCAGTTCCCTCAGTATTGCAGATGCACACTGACGAGTGTCAAATAGCATTAAAGCTACGTCAAGCAGGGTTTGTTGTCAACTAACTCCAACACCTTACTCTATTACCCCGTTCCAATGATTTTATGTTTCGGTCGAATTAAAAACTTGAATCGTACTTTGATTTTATTGTCTTGTATAAAAGTCAAACGTTAGTTATCATAAGCCAAGTTGTCTGTGCGTATTTCTTAGGATTAATTGTAGTATGACACATTGTTCATGCTGATTTTTGTGTTACATTATAGATTGTATCTCCTTTACATTCTTGAGTAAATTACCTGTTATCACATACCGAACATTGTTCTCAGTACTACTTTTCATTGGTTTCAATTACCTGCAAGTACTCTGTCATTTTCGTATATCTTTAAATTATCAACCGTGCAAATAATATTAGTGTTCTAGTTAAAGACTTATCATGGTGCTTATTAGCATAAATTGTGTAAGGGACTTTGACCATCTTTATCGGTTATTTATTGCCTCCTATTTTTTAAATTTTTTTATATACAGTGTTAATCCAGTGAATTTCGATGCATCACTAGTGCATAGAGCTCGTTATTTCATTATTAAATCAGACTATGTGTACAATGTGCACCAATCTATAAAATATGGTGTTTGGTGCTCAACTCGTACTGGTAATCAATGTTTGGATGAAGCATATCAATCAGTACATGGTTCTACCGTGACTATAACAACAACAACGACCACCACCACTGCTAAAAACGTCAATAGTCGTAATGATAATAATAATAATAATATTAATATAATCAGTGATGAATCGACATTAGTTCATAACAGTAAACTACAATCAGATAGTAATGAAAAAGTAACAGGAGTTACTTCTACTACTAATACTAATAATAATAATAATAAATCCCACCCAACTAACAATTCTGTTCAATGCCTAAATGATGTAAGTTCTTTGTTCTTTCGTGCGTAATGTTACGTGCAATACGTTTCTTTATTTTCTTTTTTTTTGAAGAAAAAGAAAAGAAAAATTATAACATCGATTTAATTTATTTGTTGTTTTCTAGTTTCTTTTTTATACTGTTCAACAGAGCGATTATAATAGTCGTGGAAGAATAAGGTGAATTCATGTATTCCTAATGACGATGATAACAATGATTATTCAGCTGTCTACGATCTGAAATATTTGTAGCTGACATTTGAAGAGGAATAATAAGAAGTTGTACACATAACTTATTATATTTGAACAGAGTTGGATGATTTCTAGCAGTGGAATTCATGTCGCGTTTCGTCTCATTTGTTACTCCTCAACTACATGCACGTGCATTTCAGTGTTGTTCACGTTGAAACTCAAAAATATCACCTTTCGCTTCAGATTTTTAACACTTTATCCACTTATTAACTTGTAACGTAATCACTAAATCCAGGCAATCTGTACACAACTTGTAATGATCAAAATTCATTTAGAATAACAACAACGAAGTAATCCAAACCAATTACAGATTAGATCAATAAAAGCTATAAGTTGTGACTGCATAATATAACTCATTTCAGTCCAAAAGGCAATCTAGTCTCAGTGTTCATACTAAGACTCGATCCTTCTCTCTTTCATTTCAAATAACAATAAATTATCCATTGACCCATGTCACCCAGATGCCCAATAACATATTCAATGGGTGTTATATTCATATGATTGTTATAACGGATTTTGATTATCTGATTGTTGATATTTAAACTTAAATTTTGATCATTCCTAGTTGATGTATATACATCTTGAGTGGACTGCTTCATCATAGCCATTGTGCCGCAAATTTTTTGGTATAGTATGAGACCCACCTCGTGGATTTCACTGCTGTCTATTTATTTATCTGTATTTTTAAAAAAAAAACTCGTGCGTCTTTATATTTCATTCTTATGGATTTTCCATCTACACGCACACACATCCATGCATTGTATTGTATTACAGAAAAATTCATCTTTTACATAAAAGGAATTACTTTCCGCTTTTTTTTAAAACAAAAACTCACTATCATATACAAATCTTTTAAAGAAAACCAATATTTCACCAAGACCATATATGTATATGTGTATATATGCTCTTCTCTAATTTATAACCTACTGGATCATTTAATTCAGTCTGTTTTTCAAAATGTTATCATAATAATATCAAGACATTCTTGATACTACTTCAGATAGTATTCCATTTTTGGTTTATCGTAGACAGATGAAGAAGAAAAAAAGAGATAGAAAAAGAAAGAATTTGATTTTAAAGAAACACTATCAGAAAAATGATTGTCGAAACATTGCCAGATATTCTTGTTCATAGTTGTTTATTATAGTTTACACTATGAAATTCAAGTCTGTCCATGGTCAAAACGTGACTAACAAAATATTGAGCACAAAACAGGTATTATCAGTTTAAATAGATGATATCAGCACATAATGTTGCAAATTGATTGGAGTTAGAAATTTGAACCATTTTATTCTATCTATCAACGGTCTAAGCGTCACACACATTTTATGGGACTGAAAGTCTAGTGTTATTGATTTATGACTAGGTCATGAGTAGGCAATTATCATGGAGTAAAAGCATTGTTCAGTATCCCCCGAGTTTTCACTAATTGTTCAGCTAATTATTGTCAACGATATCAACTACCGTCCAACTAATTTTATTGCTCCCGAATGCCCTGGTTTGGCCGAGAGTGGGAAGAGTCCGCTCACCCTCTCGAAATGCTCTCACATGGCCACGCGTATATAGCCTCTGCCAGGGAAGTCCTACTCACTGTCTTCTCGTGACGGGGGTGTTGTTCAATAAATTGAGAGGACAAAAAGAGAATGTCCGAAGCTTTAATCGGGTTAGTGGATTTGGAGTATCCACCTGAGGGAGTTGGAAAACCCTGATTTCAAACCAATGGTGCACATGGACTGTCGGCTCCTGAGAGAATAAATGGCGTATGAACCAATCGTTGGTCACCGGTTACCATGGGACTGCATCTCCTTACGATGCTCCACTACCTTGTGGACCAGACCTTTAGGTCTAAGGCTCGGGGTGTGGCCCACCCGGACAGTATCACAGACCTCACACAAATCAAATGAGGTGTGTGTGGCGCATATATATTTGGTGCCTCCTTGTACCAATATGTATGTGTTCAAATAATAATAATAACTAATTTTATTGTCTTCAGAACTTTCCTTTTGTCGGTGTCTTTTGTTATTTTGTTCGGTGTTTATTTTTTTTACTAGTCGCCTGCCGATGTTACTACCGCACCCATCTTATCTGTTTGTTCTACCACGTGTACTACCACCACTAATACAAATACACCCAATAACAATATAAACTTCGATACAGCTAACGTTTCAAGAACGAAAGTCAATACAAACGATCCAATTATATCAACAACAACTATTTCTTCAGCCATACCGACGGCAAATAATGGTCAGAACTCGACCAAATCAAAAAGAACCTCAACATCTACATTTAATACTAACATAAACTCTTCTCCTGGACATATTATTTTATTTTTTTCAGTTAGAGAATCTGGATATCTAACCGGAGTTGCTGAAATGATCAGTCCGGTTAATCCACAAAAGCGTTCTACAATATGGCAAGATTTAAGATTTAGAGGAGAATTCGCTGTGAGATGGTTGTACATTAAAGTTAGTTATATGTATATAACTTTTATTTTTTTAATATTAAAATCAGTCCTATATGCTGTAGTTTTTATAAACGTCTTACAAAATTATATTGAGGGTTCATCCTATCATTTGTTACCTAACATATAAAACTTGTCAGAATTCTACTTTTTACTTGTAAATACCTCTGGTAAGTGAACTAATCTCGAATAGTAGGGATTTTCGTCTAGTGTCGAATCAGCACAGTTTTGGCTTACAGATTATTATTAGAGTAAAGTAGATCCTAGTTAGAATTTATACTAGTTGAAAATTATGCATTTTTAAACGGTACAAGGTTTTAAAGAAAAAAAAGCCAACATGTAGAACGATTTTCAATCATATCAAATGTATTTTCTGTATTGCTAGTTATTGTACTAAAATCGATATTCACACTCAATGTTTATTTATTTATTTAAGTATATAAACATTGGTACAAGGAGGCACCAAATATATATGCGCCACACACACCTCATTTGATTTGTGTGAGGTCTGTGATACTGTCCGGGTGGGCCACACCCCGAGCCTTAGACCTAAAGGTCTGGTCCACAAGGTAGTGGAGCATCGTAAGGAGATGCAGTCCCATGGTAACCGGTGACCAACGATTGGTTCATACGCCATTTATTCTCTCAGGAGCCGACAGTCCATGTGCACCATTGGTTTGAAATCAGGGTTTTCCAACTCCCTCAGGTGGATCCTCCGAATCCACTAACCCGATTAAAGCTTCGGACATTCTCTTTTTGTCCTCTCAATTTATTGAACAACACCCCCGTCACGAGAAGACAGTGAATAGGACTTCCCTGGCAGAGGCTATATACGCGTGGCCATGTGAGAGCATTTCGAGAGGGTGAGCGGACTCTTCCCACTCTCGGCCAAACCAGGGCATTCGGGAGCAATAAAATTAGTTGGACGGTAGTTGATATCGTTGACAATAATTAGCTGAACAATTAGTGAAAACTCGGGGGATACTGAACAATGCTTTTACTCCATGATAATTGCCTACTCATGACCTAGTCATAAATCAATAACACTAGACTTTCAGTCCCATAAAATGTGTGTGACGCTTAGACCGTTGATAGATAAAACCAATTGTATCTTATATTTTATTTATTATAAAAAAACAGAATATTTTTTTTTATAAATCGCATTAGTGGGCCACACCCCGAGCCTTTGACCTAAAGGTCTGGTCCACAAGGTAGTAGAGCATCGTAAGGAGATGCAGTCCCATGGTAACCGGTGACCAACGATTGGTTCATACGCCATTTATTCTCTCAGGAGCCGACAGTCCATGTGCACCATTGGTTTGAAATCAGGGTTTTCCAACTCCCTCAGGTGGATCCTCCGAATCCACTAACCCGATTAAAGCTTCGGACATTCTCTTTTTGTCCTCTCAATTTATTGAACAACACCCCCGTCACGAGAAGACAGTGAGTAGGACTTCCCTGGCAGAGGCTATATACGCGTGGCCATGTGAGAGCATTTCGAGAGGGTAACAGGGTATTTGGGAGGACACGTTAAGTTACAGAATAAAATGGAGTGTGAAATATGATTAGGAAAAACTTAGACATTGTTAAACCGAATTACGAAGCACTCATCAGTAGTGAAATTGTTGCTGTATAGTTTGATTCTCTAAGATTATCTAGTTTCCTTGCTTATTAAAATCATATTGAAGAAACATAGATAATATAAATATTGTAAAATGGAGTTATCATTGTTATTACTAAGTTTATTTGGCGGTAAATAATGTTTTATCATTACACACTACTTAATTAGTGTTACTCATTTACTAAATCAATTTTTCTTAATATGAATGCTTACAGTATACAAGCCAGCTTCACTTTAAACAAACCGCATTAAGCTGTACAAGTGGTTTAATCAATAAACTATCAGTGTTACGTGACTTCTTTACTCTATATCGGTATCATAGAAGTCACTTAGTTGGTTAGTACACTGATTTTGTCGACAAGTCAATAAATCAATTTATGTGCTTGTCTTTCTTGCCTCTCCCTCCATCCCTCTCTCTTTCTCGATATATATATACCTTAATTTAAAATAAAGGTTACCAGCTGAAAATTACATGTAATTAAAATGATATATAGGTGGAGCCTCTATGTATTATCTGAGATAATAGTCATATTATGATTGTTGATAGTTATTGTTTACGCATTGCTATGTGATTATAAAATAAACAAACAATAGGATAAAATACATCAACACTGTTATATTGATGTATGCAAATCAGGTCATACGACATTTAAAAAAGAAAGTTATTCTTGAATGATTATTTTCATGGTTTAAAGCAGTAGTCCAGTGGTGAAAACATTCAGCCTTCAGCTGCTATGTCGCTTGTTCGAACCATTCTTCACCCACTTCAGTTTTGGCAAGCGGATAATATCTTTAACTTCTACACACTTAAGTTGTTACTCAAAGCTGAATATGCTTGTCTGTACCCGGTCAATGATGAGAAATACTTATGAAGTTTTGCAATACGTATATATGCAAATATAATGTTCCTTCTGCGAGTCTCATTGTTTTTCCGGTTCAATAGGTTTCAGGTTTCATTCAAACTATCATATATATGTTGAGAATTTGAAGTATTTTTATGAGCTATAATTAAATAATGTAAAATAGTAGTTGAGGATCTGTAATATTCAGCGAACGGATGAATGGATTATGCTATCAATCATTGTTGTAATTGTTAGATCCAATATATATTAATACGACTAAATGATGTTAACTAATTACTGATATTACTAAGAATCGATTGTCCTTAAAGCCTGATTTAACACCACAATCAATGGTCTAGAACTAATGCACTCTAAACACTCTTGGCTCATTAAATAACAGGATCATCAATATGCACTGTGCCCAAACTGAGGTAAATCATCTGTTTGCACATGCTCGGTTTTTCAGTGACTCCATGACATCTGTTAATCCATGATAAAGAGTATTAAAATCTAACTAAATATTTTTGATAGGTGACGGACCTCAGATCACACTTTATAGGCAACTTTGAACGAATCACCTCGTAATACCTTTATACGATTGTTTTTCACACAAGGACTTAAGCTTACTACTTATCTCAATGCGTTATCTCTTGAGTTATTGAATTCAGGTAGCCAATAACTTCTTTAATAATACAATCAATAAGTCTCAAGTAGGTCAACACTTTCTTCCCTATCCCACTGGTAACTGCATTTTAAATACTCTTAAAACATAACCAAAGCCCTTTATCAATGCTATCCCCCTAAGAGGTACAGATGGCTGATCTAGACTGATCGGTTTTAATCCTGAATATCAACACACGCAAATTAATAAACTGAATTTTGCTATTCTACTTAACAGTATAAAATTATTAACTTGATAATTACATGGATCTTATAAGCTGAAACTATTTAGTCTACGTATTGAAATACTCATAATTATAGTATCAATATCTGACAAGCACAGTTGATGAGAGAAAATTCTTCTACTAGTACTATTACTATTACTCTAATTATTGTTCAGTTACTAGTTTTCCCGCGAAATATTTAAATGTATGACTCGTTTTTGGTTATTTTTTATTGAATTATATATTTTCTATTTCCATTCACTGTTTTTTTCCTCTTTTGCTTGGTTTCTTCTCTCTATCCCCCCTTCAATTGTTTCATCAACCATAACAGCATATTCCAAACCATGTCATTAAGCATATCTTAGTTGAGTGCTATGACAATCGTCCGGTGACAGTGTTACGTGATACTAGTGAAATTTTACCACCGTCTAAAGGTGAAGAATTACTACGTATTGTACATGAATATGGATTATCTACGTCATCATCACTACCGAATATGTCCTCGTCATTGTCAACATCATCATCATCATCATCTCATTCGATTGGAGGTGCTAAATCATCGACCAGCAAAATTGGTAACAATCATAATTTTTCAACCAATACAAATTTGACTAATTCAAATGGACTAAATAATCATAAGACTACTAATACGAGTAGTACTTTGATTGTTCCATCATCTACCATCTTTAATAATAACAATAACACTACTAATAATAATAGTAATAGTAAGAATATTGTCCCTTCAGTAAGTATATGTTCAACGATTCCTGAGAATAATAATTCACAAGTTACTACTAATGTGTCGAATAAACATAAGAATAATTCTCCGTCTACAATTGTATAAATTATCATATGATCCTCTCACTTAATTTCTTCTATTTCGTTAACTTCGGTGATATATATACATATAAATAACATAAATGTGTACAGTTTTCTTTTTCTAAATGAAGTCGTCAATTAGACATGTGTCATCTTCAAGTTTATTCCCAGAATTAAAGAATCCTATTCATTTGTTGAGTATCAACTTTTATATACTACTGAAAAAAGCAGTTTCGTATTTTTGGTAAGTGAAATAGTGTTCTTTTTTCACGTTAAAATTATATATTTAAACAGTTATTGTGTATGATACTATGGTTGTTTGAAAATTGTTCAATTTTATAGCTTGGATCACAAACTGAATTCAGTTAGAAAACTTTTGAAAATCAGGATGCACTGGACAGCGGTTTCGTCCTAGTGTTGAATGACTCAGGGGCAGTGTGAATCTGTGACCAGTGAAGTTCATTTTAGTAGGATATAGGGCATTCGTCCACCAAAAACATTAAGAGGTGACTAGGCAATATCCCGAATACACCTTATTCAGGAATATGAACCACTGAATACTAACACAGTGGTCTAAAGCTTAAGCGCTTAACACAAGATCTAAAGGTCCTGAATATTGATCCCCGATTAAGCTGTACATGCATACTTTTGCGAAGTCTCATTCTAGGACGTAACATATGTCTGGTGATTCTTAATCTTAACCATTAACTTATATAATATCAATTAAACCAGATAAGTTATTATTTCACCACTTAATTGGCTTATTATTTACGTACCTAGAGTCATCGTCGACATTTGTTTTTTGTTAAATTAAATCTATCTGCGTATAAGTACACATGAGTTCTAATTAATCTAACTCAGTATACGGCAGTACAAATTCCCTCAATAGTTCTATCTTCTTACTCTTTGTGTAGTTCAGCTAATCGATTGTTTAAGAGCATACATATTAAATAACTTGTAATGTTTAGATTCCATAAAAAATTCTGTCAATCGGTTCCAAAGATGTCCGTCAACCTACCAATTTATTGCTGCTAACTTTGTACACGTGATGTAGTATAACTTAAAGCGGAATATATACATTTTAAAATTAATAACTGGAATATTATTGTTCAAATGTAAACATTAAAGCCTGCTATCTTGGTTTGATTATTATTTTCATAAAAAGACATGCCTTCATTGCATATCGACTTCAAATAGATAGTCATAGGAAATCAGTGGACCACCAGTTTCCATCAATTTTAAACTCTTTAGTCTTACATGCTTAGCACCTTCATGTCTAATGCTAATGAATACGTTATTGGTTTATTCTTATCTCACTTCTTACTCTTTTTTGACCGCTTTGAGTCAAGGTTTCTTACTAGAATTCTGAGAATACATTTTAAGCCCAGTTAACCTGTAATAAACGTACAGTTATTGATTAGCGTAATGATTTTCTTAAGATAATTATCATTACAGAGAGTCATTAAAAGCTGGTCGTAACTGGCAGAGTTCAATGATGTCAAGAGTAAAACATCCCTTTATATTCATCACTAATTAATTGTAGATCAATCTAAATAGTTTGAGTATATTATACTAGCTATATATATATATATATATATATATATATATATATATATATATATATATATATATATTTGATTTGTAAAACAAAGATTACCATCATCAAACTGGTCTAGTCCTCCTCGGAAATCGTTACTTTGGTGTGACTATTAATCATAAACGAACCAGTCAAATTCAAGATATTGCCTCTTGAACTTTTGCCGAAAACGCTTTCATCCATATGACTACAATGCTTTGTTGTATTAGAGCTTGTTTAATTTGGTGGTGAGACCCTTAACTCTTATTTATAACCCAATTTTGAAACTAATAAGTGATTGAAATTTCTTGAGGTTACTTAAGAGTCCTTGGAGGGTTGTTCATCAACTTCCGTCGCGTCGAAAGTTTTTTTCCCTTTCATTTTCATCATAATTACATCATATTTAAATAATTCTAGCTCTTAAAAGTTACCAATTTTTATTTATTTATTTATTGATTCAAAATAGCTACTTACCTACCATATGTTGATTACTTTTTATTTCTCATACACAACAAATTGTGCCTTATCTATAATGCAGATTTAATGAACGTTTATTCTGTTTAATAGTATATGTTATTTTAGTTGCACAATGAACTCATCAAATTCATAGACAGTTCAAAACCAAGGTCAACAATTGCGTCGTCTGTGTCATAACCATGGTAACAGAGGTCATTCCGATAGTCACTGATTCGAATGAACTTTACTATTATTATTATTTGTTGGCATGATTACTTAATAGTTTCGTATGTATGTGTTTAGTTATTCTATGAATCATTTATTGTATTTAATGGTGTTTTATGTGTTATAGGAGCTAATGATGATAGACAATGACGAAACCATTGCAATTAAACCATCTAGCTCGTACAATACGTCACTAAAATCATCTACATGAACTGCACATTTTTTTCTTTCATTTCACCATTTAGTGAATTATTAGTTTACTTTTTTTTCATTAAACTGGATAGACCTACAAAAGTACTAAAAATACAGTGTTATCATTAAGACAGATAGTAAATTTAAGGAAATATTTCCTGGAATAAACTTGGACCGGATTACCAAGCGAAACGTTGGATTTACTTCAAATTCTTTCGCTGAGGTTTTACAAATACAACATTGTTTCTCTTTAATGTCTCACATCAACTCGGCATCCAAATACTGCTAAACATATTCGATCAAATCTAGACGAACGTTCTTATATAGTAAATTTACTATTTATTCATCGTTCATTATGTTTATGAAATCTCTTCTCCTTAGACTTCTGCGATCACTTTTTAGATTAATCAAGTTCATCACAACCAATTCATTTTCGTTAATAGATCCTTCACGATGTTTAATCCTACATGTGACAGTATTCAAATACATCTTAACAAATAAAGTTAAATATTGATAGAGACTGGTTATACTGTATTGTAAAAGTTGATTACAGAGAAATGTAAACTCGTAAGACTATAACATACAGCACACAAGTTATCATGACCTTTTGATAGTTCACCTGATAGCACTTCTCTAATACACATGAAACAACAGCTTATTGTTAAAGAATTCTAAACATACAGGATCCAAAATGCACGTTATTTTTTGTCTTTTGACGGGGAAAACTTTTGCTACGGATTGAAGTTATCTGTAGAATGATTCGGAGCTATCAAACACTAGACTGACTAGCTTGTTTTGTTCTAATCTGGAGTTTTACTCATGATTTTGGACTGTATCGATTCTGAAGACTCTGCTTTTTGCTGAGACCAATTTACTCCTATACCACCAAATTTCTAATCCAGCAGTCGTTCTTTATTCCTCTGTGTCAGTCGGTTAATCATAATCAAAGTAAACCCTGACACAAATGCCCATTGCCTTTAATTTTCGTACTACTTTCTCACAACGACATTAAATTACTAAGATATATACCGAAGGAATCGAAATAATGCAGTAGTAATAATAATGAAAGAAACTGAACATTGAGAATATGATACGAAAAGACAGAATAAAGACGTATACATAAATAAGTACTAGAAATCAAAATCTGAAGGAAAATATAACATGGATATACCTGATCTACTGTGACGGATTTTGATTATTATTCCCCGGACTTCAGTTAGACAATCTCCATCTACCAAGATGACTCTGATCAACATTCAGTAACATCACAGAGTGATCCCATGTTTAGGTCTCCATGCTTCCCTTCCAACCTAAGTTTTACTAGCGGAGATCGTCCACCAAAATAGGCGGTTGACAGGCTTATATAATACATGTCCTAATTACTTCAATCAATCTAGTTTTATAACCTCATGAATTGATTCTCCATCCTGTCTTAGCGTCCTATACCTGGTTTGTATATCGTCCTATCAGTCGTTAAAGGCACATATGGTCGTACCCTTGAGTCCCATAGTTTATAACCACAGGGTATTACAACGTGTAGTGCTCTGTAGTATACTCATCCATAAGTTGGAATACGGACATTTCAAGTGACACAAGAGGCCGACCGATCTTTCTGAATCCGTGGCGTTATTTTGTCAGACACCAACTCATCGTTCTCAAATTCATTATTTTTCTTGCAACCTGGATTTGTTTTAAAAAATGTATTTGTCCATTTTTTTAATTTTTTGTACCGTTTGTCGCTACTTAGGCTGTTGCTCAATAACTAAAAAAAACATTTCCACATATGTCTCTTCAACCTAAACTTTGTATACGTGTTGGTGTAGGAATCATTCTAACTAATGGTTTTCAATACTAAAATTTACCATTACCAGAATAAATAGTCGGTCACAAAGTAATCAAGTTGTTACCACATTTATTTTTAATCATTTTAAATTTTTCCCAGTCGTTTTGTGGACAATATTTAATACGATAAATAGTTAACACTCAAAACCTACGTTTCTTCATCATATCACGTAGACAGAATTTCCCTTGATAACTTTTAAATACCATGGGTGGCACAAGAAAATCGCTCCATTATAGTTTGGTACATCATTAATAGTAGGCTCTCACTACCCTATCAGAGATATAACCTCAATACGTTTAAGTTTCACAGTGATTACCTTACTGAGTTGATATCCAATGTTTCACATTCCTTAATGCATTCATTTCATTGTACTAAACAACCATCATTCATTTTCATCAGCTATACTTATCTAGATTACTGATTTGTTTAGAATCATTTTAGGGGTATAGATTATCGATAGAGCTTTAGGAATTCTTTTATGATATCATTAATGATCAAGTATATTATATATTAACTCTTAGTCAATACAACATATTTTAGTTATTGTTCTCTTTTGATCTGAATAATTTGACATAATAATTCATTTCTATCATATGATCCAAAATTCTATTCTAATAAGCTTTTTATCACATGGTATTAACAATAATCATACATTTCATGAAATAGATGGCTTATAATTATTATTATTGTCTAGTACTTTAAATTGGATCATAATAATGAATCATAATAGGTTTAAGTTTTCATTTACATTGTTACAAATTCACGCTTTCATGAAATGATTAAATAACTTCCAGTTGTACATTTTCAACTTATTACTACATATGTATGTATGTATGTATACATGCTTGCATTTAAAGGAGAACTATTTGTCAATAATATATTATTGTATGTAATACTTTGTTTGTTAAATAATGAATATTATTTGTAAGTTTGATTACTTAATTTATTTAAAAGTAGTTATAAGAATGTAAACAACATTACTTAAAACAAAATGACACTTGGACATAATTCCACATAATATATCAGTTGTATTTCACATCCTCCAGTTAAATGTTTTAGGGAACTCTGATCAGGAACTGGAACGTTTCAAATCAACTCCTTAATTCTTAAAGTCATACATGTTTGGTAAAAAAGATTTTCTAAATTTCCGATAGAATTTGAATCTCCCTTTGTTTTCATTACGTATCATATCTTGCCAAGCATCTAAGAACGTAGATGATTTATAAGTCCAATAAAGAGGATTACAATAGGCTAGAAGTGTTGGGGATACTAGATCCCTAGAAATCACTTGATAAATGTCTCATTTTTACACTATAAGCGTCCACTTCTACCTTCATTTTGTATTTTCCACTTGGAAGAAACTTAAATGTCAATGGTTCGTTTCCTTTCTTAGAACGTTATTTTGTGACTTTCCAAGGACAATTTTGGACTGTATTATAGACCCTTCGGTTGTGTGCTTATTCGTTCATGCTTCTGGCTGCTTGTGGAATGTATATTTTTTCCGGGCTGAATCAGGTCTTCCCCCTTGAGTTATCAGGTATGTGGTGCAGTGAAATAAATTAGCTTGTCCTGTTACTGTATTATTGACTTCGTCTGGTTTTAAGCTATATCGTAATCTTTTCTAACGTAGCAGGGTGTTAGCTTTTTATTTACACTGACTGACTTACAGGATTCCTTTATAGCAATGTCATTTTCAGCCCCTCCCAAACTTTCAGTCTTTTTCCTCGATGACCGTCAGTTCACAATGAATACACAATCTCATCCAATCAGAAATTCGTAAACAATGTAAAATCATTCACCAATTACCACATTCTCCTTGTAGAGAATTCATTTTCTGAGTTTTCGTTCGATAAATTTTTAGTATTGACTTTGTATGGTCAATAACTAAATAATGAAAGGAGTATATTTCAACAAACATCTCTCTTATTAGCACGCTGTTGGAGTGTTTTATCCTCAGTTAACGATCTAATTACTGATGATTTTGTTATTCGTAGTTTGGAACAACATATAAGCGAACAACATTGTTTTTAATTTGATCTTCATCAGACTTTACGCTAATATACAAAAATATTTTTATGTGTATAAAAATATTAAATCAATCAAGACAGTTTATGAGTTAATGGTCATCGAAGGTCTTGTGTTTGATTCCCGGATGTAAGTTTGTGGATGTGCACTGCTTAAAAGTTCCATAACATAAAGAAATGGCTGTCTGGTTTTTCCAGGTTTTCAATTGTGGTTAAACTAAGGTCAGGTCATGATTTAAACTATGATAGCTTTACAATACTTAAAAACTCCCCTATACTAATACTGGATGCATGATAAATTTACAAGTTTTGGAACAGAAAAAGATATAAGCAACAGTAAATTAAATCAAATGAAAACGTACATTTGGAGGGATGTGGAAATCACATGAAATAAGTGTTACTAATTACGTATTACGAAACAAAAGCATTAACATCCCTAAAAATAGCTTTATTATCCACTCGTACTTTTCTCGTCATATATATATAATATAAAATGTCACCTTATCTTTGTTTTTAGATCCTCAGCGACTATGAATTATACAGAAAATTTAGAAACGATTCAAATGGAATGTCAAATATTTACGTGTATATGTTAATTCATTCTCAAGGTTGCATGCATGTATTCAGTAACCATGTTTAGTGGTAGCTTTATAAAATCCCTATTATAGCCTTTCCCTCATGATGCTGAGCTGTTCCAGTATTTCACTTTCTGTTTAATACATCAAAATATAATAAACTTTGACATATTTTCTTATTGTTAAACAGACTGACTGCTGATAGTTTTACATGATTTACTACTTCATATTGTTCAATCCCTTCTTCGTTAATTTCATCTCCTCTGCGTCACCATATTTTTCATTCACCTATTAAATCTTTATAAACATTCTCTACTTGTTTGGAATTATATATGTATCGATTTCTGTTTGTGTCTATTTGTTCCCGGCATCATCTTGTGTTTTTCCTGTTATTTGTGATTTCATCCCTTTATATTCTGCTTGTTACCTTTATTTACGAAAAGACGTTTTTTTAAAAAAAATTTGTTTTCTTTACATCATACTTTATTATTAAGTTACTTAGTAACTACAATCGATTTTGTAATAATCCACATGTACACACACATACATGAATTATTGTTTGGGTAAATTTTGACATTTTGTGTGTTCAGTTTAATTTTCTTCTACATGTACATCTGTTTATTAATGGGTTCATTTGTGTGTGTGTGTGTGTGATGAATAGGTTGCTAAAAACTAGCATATACGTAAACGATTACTCTATATTAAAATCGCATCATAAAGCATCCATACCTTTTTTTTGGTGTATTTGTCTGTTATCCATCGTTTATACACATATTATACATCTGCGCTCTACTTGCCTCATTCTGTTCTGTTGTCATATTTTTGTTATTTCTTGGACATTTTTTATTCTACTACATCATTAGGATGTATTCCAAGAGTGTTTTGTTCTACCTTTTCGATCTTATTTGACCTGTTGTCTTTTTTTGATTATAAATAAACTCATTTTACAAAATACATATTCGATGATGACATGTTACCTATTTTGTTTATTGTATAAGTTCGTGGGTGTTTGTCTCTGTTTATGTGTGATGCATACTTGATTTGTTCCACCTAACAGATTCACTTCACTTGTTCATGTTTGTTTCATTATTATTACCGATCATTTGGTAACTGGATTAAGAACCGACTTAAGATGTATAAATTTGTTCTTGCTACATTACTCTACTGCACTGCCCCTGAACATTAATCAATACATAATCATCACTATTTACCATTGTTCTTGCTTGTACGCAAATTTTAGTCTTTCATTCCATGTATTGGTTATTCGTAGGTTTGTTTGTTTGTTTGTTTTCAGTTTATGTGTTTATTTTCCTTTAGTCAGTACGATTACGCAATTACTTCTATTATTATTATTATTATTATCATTATTATTATTATTATTATTATTATTATTGCTATTACTATTGATAATTACTTGTATAAGATTAGTGGTGGAGAAGAAGCATTGTCGTTTGATTTTGTTATACATTTTATGAGATTATTTTCTAATCCAGTGCCTTCTAAATCTCAATATCTTTTTTCTTCATATATTTAAATCCTACTTAATAAACGCTGTACATTACTCTCTGTCTTGTGCTCTACACAAAAAAAAATGCATATGGTAGTTTAACGTTGTTTATCAGCTGTATGATAACTCGTCCAAAACGACAAACGATTGATTCAACATTTCTCATTACTTCACATACATACATACATACACACAGATATTTATTCATTTGTGAAATAAATTTAGTTTCATATTGAATCTTCCCATGTTTGATGATTATTTACTCATTGTTGGTCTGTTGGTTCACTTCTCTTCTCTCTTCTTCTCTGTATATCGTCTTTATTTATTTTGCTTCGTATTTTTTTTGTTTCATATTAAAAAGAATGTGATTCCTACAATTTTTTACAATCATCATTACTATTATTATTATCATTATCATTTTGAATTGCTTTCTGACTGTTTTCCTTCGGTATATTTCATAAAATCCTTTATCTTAGCGGGAACCTGAATTTTTTTGTTGTTGGTTATCCCTCTTGCTTTTATATTTTTTTTATTGTGTTCCACCTACTTTGATAGTGGCTATCTTACCGGAGGTCGACAGTTTGATCGGAAAATATTATGTATCTGTCTGGATTATAAGGAGTTATTTCTTATTTTCTTTATTTCTACACGTTTTATTCATTTCTCTTGTGTGTTTATTTATATATTCAACTTCCGTACAGTTTACATAAGTAAATTGTTCAGATATATACAATGAATTATTTGTAAAAACTTTAATTGTATAACACATAGTTTGAAGTAGAAAGTGAAATCGTTTTTATTATGTTATGCTTTATTCTTTTCTTTTGTTTACCTGTTGCTTCGTTCTGTACCTGTCTTTTTTCTCTTTTGATTTATTCTTGCTCCGGCGCATGCGCCCCCGCCCCTATTCGCTACATACAAATCTTTCATTTTCGATGCCTCTCTCTCTCTCTGTCGATCTGTTAATCTATCTGTCTATCTTTATAGTCTTTCGATTTGTTAAACGTCTTATACCTTATTTATTTTCAATCTTGATAATTGAAAAAAAAAATGTAATACGTTGTGGAGTTTTTATTCTATGAAGAAATACCTTTCTGTGACACAATTCTTTAATTGTATCTTTGTTAGATTAATTGATTCCAGGTTACCGTGATTGATCCAATCTTCAAATTTGTTTGTTTTTTATTTTTTGTAGACAAACTTTGTAGTTAATCATAAGTAATGTAGGAGTTGATTCGAGTTTGTCATACTAAATCAGCATGGTTAGATGAAATAACCGATGTAAATCTCAGAGCAGTATAAGTAGTAGCAGTATCATCACCAGTTGCAGTGGAAAATATTAGGCATAAACAGTATGGTTAGCAAAGAATGAATGAATTTGTAGAATAAAATAACGTGTAATATTTAAAAAACTTTGATCTCAAGGAAGGCAAAGAGTTTATGTATCTTATCCATTGTGATCCAACATGTCAAACTACTGGTTATGAGAATTCAGTCAGTCAGTCAGCTGCAACGTAGGACCAGGCACGTATATGCATTGGTCCAAGTTGCCATACCGCATTAGCACAACAAGATGAACACCGGATTCATAGAAGTAGTTAATTCAGTGGTGGTAATATATAGAAGAAAGATTCTGTATAAGTACAGGAAGAAAGAACTAGTTCCTAGAAAGATATGAAGCGATTTTAATCTGTTAATTTAAGGAAGACAGAGAGTGTATACACCGACGCCATTGTGATCGATTCTGAGCCATGTCACCAAGAGTCTTCAACCATTGGTTACGATAGTCACGCGGACCCCAACCAAACAGTCTGCATCTACCAACATGGCTCAAACCAAGAGTTAGTGACTTCAAGCACTGATACCACGTTTTGGTTTGGCCACCCCTAACTTTCTTCCCATCATCCCTAACACCGGTTAGCATTGCGCGTCGTGGTAATCGGTGTTCAGGCATACGCAGCACGTGGCCCAACCATCTCAGTCGATGAAAGTTCGTGACCTCATCAACTGATTTACCATCATTCCCTAATACCCTGCGTCTAACCTCACTATTACTTACCTGGTGATCCAAGCAGATGCGAGCAATATTTCTAAGGCATCTGTGGTCAAATACTAGTAACTTACGAATATCTTCTACTCTTAAAGGCCGTGTTTCGCAGCCGTATAGTAGAACGGAACGAACTGCCGCGCAGTATACTCGTCCCTTAATTGATAGACGGATATCTCGCCTTCGCCATAGATGACGTAAGTTGGCGAAAGCCAAAAGAGCTCTTAGAATTCGTGCTGAGATTTCAGTCGATGAGAGCGTTATTTCCATCAGGAGGTCTATGATAAAGTTAAACAAAAAAGGAGAAAGTGGACAGCCTTGACAGACCCCACTTGAGGTTGCAAAAGCGGATGACAGTTCACCATAAGCTCTGACCCGACTAGTAGTGTTCGAGTAAAGAGCCTTCACAAGGTTTATGTACTTCTGAGGTACGCCTTTCAATGACAGACACTACCACAGAACCTCTCGGTCAACAGAGTCAAACGCTGCTTTTAAGTCAAGAAAGACCACCATTGTCGGACGCCGATAAGTATGCCTGTGTTCTAGAACCTGACGAATGGTGAATATGTGGTCGATGCATCCACGACCAGGTCCGAATCCAGCCTGATTTTCACGTGTTTGCAGTTCACGAGTCTTAGTTAGGCGTCCGAAAATTATCGAGGCTAGTATTTTAGATACCGTATTAGTTAAACTAATCCCTCTGTGGTTGTCACAGGATGATTTTGACCCTTTCTTAAATATTGGGACGATAAGTGATTGTGACCAGTTAGATGGGATAACATCTAACTCCCAGATTTTTAAGACAGTTAGTCCCTTTGATGAATTTCGATAATGCAATGAGAAGACGAAGTTTATCAGATTTTAGCTAAAATATTAGTCAACCTAATCGCTAAAATTAGACCACCATCCTTAAAGACCTCTTAGGCCAATCCATCTGGACCAGCTGCCCATCCTCGTTTCAGATTAGCTATAGCCTTTTGAACTTCAGCTAGAGTTGGGGGACCTACTTCAATGTTCCATCCATACTGTCTGGGAATGGAGGGTAGTTGTAGAGTAGCTGAAGGCCAGCTGAACTGCTTCTTAAAGTGTCCCGCCTATCGTTCTAAACGTCTGGACTGAGAGCAGATAAGAATGTCGTCTTTTCCCGAGATAGTCTCACATTTGACTTATTAATTCCAGTTTCTTTTATTAGTCTGTGGAGCTGTCTTATGTTAACTACGGCAACCGCCTTTTCCATCTCTTTTGCTTTCGTTGCCCACCACTGCTCACAATCGTTCCTTAGACTTTTGCTTAACCTAGGTCTGATTTGTTTACGCTCTTTATCGTGTTCAGAACCTGATGGGATGAGTTTACGAGAATCCATCAGTGCAATAGACCTTGAAGAAATCCATTGGTTCTTTGTAACCCTGTGGTTTAAATCACTAGTAGATGTCACTGCTGTTTCCACAGCTGCTTGTATGTCTTTCCAATCAACATCGGGGTGCTCGTATTAGAGCATGGTTGGAGTCCAAGCAGGTACTCCAGAATGAGCGACAATCTTCTATTGACCCTCTCCGACGATGACTGATGACAATATGGTCTATTTGAGTCCATCGTTGGTTTGGTGCAGGGGGTCGCCATGTTACACGATGTCTCTCCTTATGCTTAAAATTTGTGTTTGCTAAAAATAAACGATTGTCTGAGCAAAGTTGCAGCAGACGATCACCATTATCTGTTCTCTGTGCCGGAATAATAAAATGCCCACCTAAATGTCTTTCTGTTTCGTTTAAGCTACCTACCTGGGCATTAAAGTGGCCTCCTACGAGTACTATGTCTGAACGTTTAGCTTTCTGAAGAAGTTCAGACAGCTTTCTGTAAAATTCATCTTTCACTTCATCCAAACTGCAGTCAGTGGGAGCGTAGGCAGAAACGACGAAAAGGCAACGACGTGTGTCCCTATCCTTTCGAGTTCTTACGGAGCCGTTTAGCCGAACAGCGCATAGACGACTATTAACGGGGATCCACTCTAATAGCGGTTGTTCCGCCCTCATGCTTAGTGCTATGCCTACACCTGCAAGTCGACGAGAACTAGCGATCGGGTCGCCAGATACACGGAGGGTGTATCTCGTCGGCACTCCGTTTTGCCGAGGTGAGGTCAAGTGAATGACCACGCTAGGATCCTGTATGCGTGTTTCGGAGACACAGCATACATCAATGGTACGAGATTCTAAGGTTTTAGCCAAGGAAGCATGCTGACCAATTTGATATAGTGTGCCTACGTTGAAGGCTCCAATGTGTAATTTGGAGCAAGGTTTCAGTAGACCTGGGACAGTGTTTTGCGCACAAGAATCGTTGGCTGTGATGACACTTGAGGAGGAAGCCGAAAGAGGGAGTTTAGATTTGAAAATCGATGTAGGAGGAATAATAGAAATTGAAGAGGGAGGTCGATTATGAATACAGTGGTCTTGAGTGCTGTTAGAGGTATGAGGGCGGTTATCACTTCCCGGTTGCCCACACGTGGAAGGGTTCTGCTGGAAGTGCCTGAAAAGGAAGTTGTATTAGGGGTGGTCTTAGTGACCTGAGAGCGTGACCGCAGTGCCCAAGGGACAGCTGCTTGAGGTCGGTCACACACGACCTTTTTATGAATAGTTTTTGTGTTAGCTCCGTACTTGTTGAGACCTTACCGCCGGAGACGGAAATCCGTGGGATAAGGCGAGGTGTGCATTTTTAGGGTCGACCATTTCTAACCGCAACCCTCCTTTTGGGAAGGCAGCATCGCTCTTATGCTGGTTGTCTGAAGGAAACACCTTACTGCTGTCACACCTCTGTACAGTCAGCAGTAGGACTTCGGACCTTGGTTTTGTTGCTTTTAATCTTACTGCTCTTCAACCGACCTGTCTGGCATGGAAGGACCTTGAGGAACGGTTGTTCCAGCCAGTATAGCTCAGCTGCTTCATCACGATAGGCAAGCCTGACCACCACGTCAAGGTAGCAACAACGATCAACTCCTACCTACATAGCTCAGTTCATAGACTGATTTTGCGTCTTTATTGGACCACCTCTATCTTGCTTCAAACCTACTTTTACTAGTCAATATCGCTCTTTGAGGTAGGTAGTGGTTTGAATATATAATGCATGTCCCAACCACTTCAGTCAAACCTTTGTCAATTTGGTGAAAGAAATTCTAAATTTAACAATAAAACTTCATTTAATCAATAAAATCTATGTGTAGATAGGGAGAAACGATTAAGTTCTGATTTGTGCATGGAGTAGTCACATTTTAAGTAATGCTTCATCAATGGATAGCTATACTCTATGATGGATGAAAGATAAATCACCCTAAGGAGAGTGTTGTTTCCGAAATCGCTATCATTTATTTGTTTTGAAGTCTCATTTACGACAATTAATACCAAGTTTTACATAGACAGAATTATTAACCATTAATGATGATTATATTTTCCGAATCGGAAGTGTTTTAACTTATGCTACGAGATAAAACTTAGTTATATATGTAATGAGGCATGACATTTCAATTATACTAAGTTTTACAATCGGTATCAGTCACTTATACAAATAAGTCTTTTGATACTAGAATTTGAATATATTTTTACATTAAAGGACTCTTTCACATACAATAAACCGAATTCAGCTTCTGAGCATGATTGAATAGCTCTTTAGTTTAGAGTAGTTCATGTAATTTTACTTATCCTCGATACTGTTCACTGTTCTGATATAACCTCAGATCAATTGTTATAGATGAGTGCAAAGAATAAAACTTTTAAAGGGGAATGGTGATAGGCTGAACAATCCCAGCTGGATCATTTAGTATGCTGCCCCAATGACACATGGTAAATGAGAGATGAAAGTTGTAGATGTACTATCAGAAATAAGTAAACTTTCACATAGCCAAGTTAATCAAATGCATACCCCTGTCTAAATCAGTCCGGTAGCCTGTATTTATTCATCAGTTTCTTTTGCTTTATTATTCTGCTTTGGCGATAAAGTTTTCCGCTCAGTCTAATTATTAGGCCATTGAAATGTTCATTGGTAAGTAAGTCGGAAAACAGAATACCATACATTCTCCCCTAAAGAAGCTCGAACCCGAATTGTGAGCAAAACATCAGAATTATTTTAATATCTTCAATATTATTTTGTTTTTCTAATAGAAAGAATAATCGTTGACCATGGTGACAATTAAGAAGGAAGTTTAGAGTTAAATGTCGAGGCAGAATCAATAATAGGAATTCATTATGATTAGTGATCTTGAGTGCTGTTAGAGGTATGAGAGTGCTTTCCACTTCCCGGTTGCCCACACCGTGGAAGGATTCTTCTAGAGGTACCTGAAAAGCAAATTGGATTAGAGGTGGTCTTAGTGATCTGGGAGTGTAACCACAGTGCCCAACGGACAAGTGCTTGAGGCCAGTCACATACAAAGTTTTTGTGAGTAGTTTTCGTATTAGCTCCGTACTTGTTGAGACCTGACCGCCGGAGACGGAAATCCGTGGGATAAGGCGAGGTGTGGATTTTTATGATTGACATTCTCTGAC